TTTGTACCCCATATAGGGGCAATGAAGCTTGCCCCCTTTTTAAAATTTTAATTCTCCCAATTCCTTGATCCCAGGCTCTCCTTTGACCACAACTCTGGACACTAAGTTTATCCCCTCCTTAACACCTACTATCACCTCAGACCAGTCCAGATCATCCACCCAGGTCATTACTCAGCCTCCAGGAAACACTCCTCCTCTCCCAACATTCTCTACTTCATCTACTACCCCCTTCTCCCTTATTACTACTCTGCAGCCTTATTAGCCTATTAATTTCTGTACAGTACTACTTCACCCAACACCACTCCCTCTTCCACAAGGCCCTGTTCTTCAACTACCCCTGCCTCTACAAATCGTTTCAGTACTTAAGATTACTTTTTGTACACGACTTCCCCCTCCATGTTTATATTGGCAGAGAATCCATCCCTGTCCATCCATATCAACCTTTACCCTGTCAATGTCAGAACTGTTGGCATCTAGGCCACCCTGCAAACACTGCTGCTCCACAGCCTGATCTATTCAGCGCCCAACCTGGTCTTGATCGATCAAACTGCTCTGCACAGTCTCGCCAATTGTAGTGGCTCCCATAATGTAATTTATGGAGGCTTCCCTACCTATTCACAGATTTAAACTTGGCCTCACTTTATGTGAGGCCAGACTGGAAGCATGTCGACAAGGTTTTCTCTTACTCCCTATTCCACTGCTGCTGGTCACTCTGCTCTTCTCCTTTCCTCCCAAGAGGTTTCTGTATCCCTCCCCCCCTCCTTTTTATGTCTCAACTTTTACCCCTTTCCTCTCCCAATTAAATTCTTTTGCAATTTTAAATCCAGACACCCCAATTTCTACCACTGCCCAGACACCTACCCGTCTCCCTCCTGTCTCTATCCATAACAGACAATCTAAATATTCTGCACCCTCTCCTCCACCTACCTCTTGCTCTACACCTCAAATGCCTATCTCTTCTCTTCCTCATAAGAAAACCTTTGCTTCTCAGACCTCAGAAACTCTTGAAGACATTCAAAACAACCATGACCCAAAATGGCATGCTTGCACATCATGATCTTCAAATTTCTCTGCTCCCATTCCCTCTACACTCAAAGTCCCTGCAGACACCCGTCCTCCTCCTATTCATGCTCCCCCTACACCGCTTCCTCCCAATCCATCCTGTTCCCTCTTGCTTCATATGCATCATCCCCATCTCTAGATGCTCTTTCTCCTGAAACTGTGATCTAATTGCCCTTAAACTCCCTTTAGCCCATTTACTCATTATCTCTACCCTCACCCCTCTTTGCCCCCCTTCAGTGCTACTATTCTGAACTGTACTATGACTTTTGACATGCAACACATTTAATCATCAACTAACCCCTTATTTACCCTTTTTACTTATACACCTTTCGATAATGCTATATGACCTTGGATGTTTAGCACATTTTCTTTTGTTTTGTAACCATTAACCAATCCATTTTGACAAAAGCATTTGGATATGGGATCATGGTACACCCTGTATATGTTAGAGTTATATAAGCCAAGTATGACTGTCCCATGTTTGGGATATTGAAAAGAAGAAAAAGTAAAACCTAAAATTTTCTGCATATTAAATTCATGTTTATAGTATAAAATTATATATCAAAATAAGGAGTTCACTTGCTATCTCTCTACTTATTGACAAACTGCATTGAAGAGAATTAATCTTCCTTTATATTGTTCTTTTCCAGGTTTTAAGGATTTATGGGATGGAAAAAAATTATCTGGAAAAATATACGTACTATGTGTTATGATCATTATCAAGTAACTTATATTTGATTCTCAAAAATAATATCTGATATATTTTTGTAAAATTATGATTTAAAATTGAAGTATTATCAAAATCAAGAAAACAATTTCAAGTTTGTATCTACCCTTTAAATATGGAATATCCTATGAGTAAGTTATCATTTTAACCTTTTTTCTTTTTTCTTTTACTTGTGTTAAGTGTATCAGTATATGTATTATCAAATAGCCATTGATATTAATCAGTGTTTATATTAAATGTTACTGTAGAGGATAATTCAGTATTATATAGGGTTTAGTATAAAAATGACTGGAGGCTAATGTATAGATATGTATGTATATATATGTATATGTGTATGTATGTATGTATATATATATATATATATAATATATATATATATATATATTATATGTATATAAGTATAAATGCATACATATGTATATGTATGTATATGTGTGTATATATATATATATATATATATATATATATATATATATATATATATATATATATATAATATATATATATATATAATATATATATATATATATATATATATATATATATATATATATATATATATATATATATATATATTATATATATATATATATATATATATATATATATATATATAATATATATATATATATATATATATTATATATATATATATATATATATAATATATTGTATATATATATATTTAGCTATTTTATACATATAAACACGTATCGCATAAACCTATTCATACATTTTTTTCTTTTCAGCTGGTGATACTATGCTACTTGTTATAGTTGGCAAAAGTGGAACAGTCTACATTGGTCAGGCAGGTGGGTCATCAAGAATTTCATGGTTCACCAAATCCCTCACGAATATGGTGCTGAGCTGCTGCGCCCTCGATGATGCACTTGCTTTCTGTGACGGATTTAGCTGTTGGATATGCCATCTCTCTCTTGATTCAAGACAGTTTCCAGAAGTTAGACCTCATAGACTACCATATGTTGGCATCATTAAAATTTCAGAAATGGATAAGGACACCGTGGAGTTGGCAACGTGTGATGGACGAAAATATAATGTCGCTTGGAGTTCATTGGTTTCCAAGAGCAAATGTGAAGAAGGAAAAAACGATACTAAATCGAAAAATGACAGTGCCCCCTCAACTATCAAGGAAACCATGATGGGGATCAAGAAATGTTCTGAGAGAATGGAAGTGGAAGGCCAACATATTCACAGTCTAAATCTCTATATAAAACAATTAAATATATTATCATCCCTTTTAACTGATTCAAAAGAATTTATGTTTTCAGCAAGTGTTAGAGTTGAGCAACAAACTATAGGGCAGGTAGTATCTTACAGTGCTTTGATTGAATTTACAAACAAGAAAGTGGGATTCGAATTGGAAGGTAAATGGTGGGCACTGTGTATCTCTGTTCCGACACGCAATGGAAGGCACTATGAATTAGTCAGACTTGATAGTCACTCTTTCATACCAAGCTGTATTGTTACAGTTCCTTTGCGTGAAGTGGATTGGAATCAAAATGCTAGGACTGTTACAATGGAGTGTTACCTTGTATTTGACCATTTTGATATGTCTCATCCTTTGTGTCAAGTACCAGTCTGTGTAGCAGAGGTTGATATACTACATTTCCTTACTGCTCATCGGGTTTTGAATAAAGGAATCTTGGCCTCCCCAGGCTTTGCTGAATCTATTGAGAAGTTGTCAAAAAGTAGACAAAATACTCAAGCTGAAAAAATGCAAAGCAAAGTGTCTTCTCTGCCTTGTAAAGTGTCCACTTCATTTACCTCTGATGAAAGAAATGTTTCTCTAATCAAGAACATATTCAGCACACTTGGTTGTGCAATTTCCCTTAGTCCTAAAACAGAGCAAGTGAGGCTTTGGTACCATGAAATACCACTTGATATATACCTGAGTCAGCAAAGTGGTAAGATATTATTAACTTTTGAGGGAACAAAGGCTTCTCTGGTTTTATCTGCAAAATTAGCAGTAGAGGGCAGAATAGTAAAGCAAAGACCTTCTTATAGTAAATTAAGTTTACCACCAACAGTTCTTAGACAGGCTAGACAGTCGCACAGGATTTTGCAGTTTGAGTCCTCTAAGGCTGTTACCCCTACAGCTGTCATTCATCTGCATCATATTACAACAAATTTAATGTCACTGCTACCATTATAGTGGATAAAAAATATTACCCAAATGATATTCTGAACTCTTGTTAATTATGTACCAAAAGATACACTTTTAAAAGCAATTTAAATTTCTATGAATAAAGTTTTTAATACATTATCATTTATTAATGCCCCTAATTTAGAATAGTGTAATGACATCTTTATGGCTTTCTTATAGTTTAAGCACTGTATTCATATACATCCATCCATTCATTCATTCACTCGCCTATCCATTCATTCACACCTATCCTTCCATCTACATATTACACATATTCTGTGTGGAACTCCGTTTCATAGGGAACTTGTGGATGAGGATGCCCCTGTTAACAATGTTATGACCAACTATTGGGAAGTATACATAAATTTCATTAAACCTTGAGAGTGGTAGATACATTTAGATAGGTATAAATATATATAGGTGGGGAATACATACAGAGATATGATTTGATTTTCATATTTTTTCTTTTTTAGTAATATTGTTAAGAGGGTGAAATGTTACATTTCCTTACTTTTTAAATAATATGCTTTATTCTTGTTATTGCTATGCTTTGTTTGTTAGATAATTGAAGGCACCATTTTATAATATTGTAATATCAATTACTATTAGCTAATGACATAATTTTGTTCATATTATTAATCGTTAATGATTGACCATCTTTAATGATTGACCACTGGTTTACCTTATTGTGCTTTACTATTTTTACACAAATATAATTTATGGTAATCCATAAAAGTCTACACACTCATGCACCATCTTACTAGTTAATGGTAATGTACTTCAAAGGAGGCTTGTTACATACACCTGATTTCCCAATAGTTGACTACTGATGGTTGGGTTTTGAAAGCAAGAACATGAAAATGGAAACGTGACATATTAACGATTAAAGGTCATTTTCCGCGTCCCTCTTTCAGTCAGATTCTCACTGATAACAATTACAATAATGATAATGACAACGAAAATGATAATTATTAATGATGTGAGATCCTGACACAATAGTCACATTAATAATAAGAATGGAATGGGCTGAACGCTCACCATTATGAG